CAGCCCCCAGAACCCTCAAGGTGGTAGGGGTTAGAGGCGTGTGCTCTCCAAGGTATTGTTTATAGAGGGACTGAGCGAGTGGTGGGCCTGGAGGGAGATGGAAGCAGAGGGACAGGAAAGGGTGGGAGGGTGCCCAGCCTCATCTGTCCCCATAGGACTGAAGTTGGCCACTTGCCTGGCTGCCTGAGAAGAGTGGCCGTGGTTAAAGGCAGCTATGGGAAGTGGGGTGAGGCTCCGTGAGGCTTTGTCGCTGTGTCATGAATCAATAGGTCAGTGTGTGCGCCCCTGGCTCTGGGGTCAGGCCCGGGCATCTGGCTGCTCTAGTCTTGAGCTCTGTCTGGATGCTGGGCTAGCCCTGGCAGCTCTCTGAGGGGCCTGACCCTGTGGCTCTTCCAGTAGCTGTGTGGGGTAGTGTGTTGGAGTTTGGGAGTCTCCCTGCTGATGGGCTGGGGCGCCCTGCAGGCCTCTGGAGTGGAAGAGAGGCAGATGGGAGTTATTAGGGGGCTGCCTTGTTTAGTTCATCTAGTTCTCCTCAGTCCTGTGCCCCCCCCCCATTCTGTTCTCCTAACATCTTTGGGGGGGTCATTGGCCAAAGCCAGTGGTTTTCACTTGGGGTTAATCCTCCCCCTCCCCCCAGGGGACCTTTGACAGGGCCTGGAGAAAGTTTTGATTGTCTCACCTGGGGTGGGGCTACTGGCACCTAGTGGGTGGTGGTCAGAGGTACAGTCCTCCTACCACAAAGAACCATCCAGACCAAGATGTCAGTAGGGCTGAGGCCGAGACCCCCTGGCCTTGGAGAGGAAGAGGTTCTATAAGTGTCACCACAAGTCTGAGCCCCAGTAGCGGGGGGGCTGGAGAGGGACAGCTCAGGCAGATGAACCTAGGAGCCCTGCCTCTCTGAGCCATACCCCTAATTAGGGACGGAGGGAGGCAGGTGGTAGTCAGCTGTTGAGTGGGAGGGAGACTGACAGCTGGGGCTTGTGTCTGGGTGAGGGAAGTTATTGTTTGAGGGTGGAGAGAATCGACTCCATTGCCAGGGGAGGAGGGGCGAAGGGTCTATATATGTCTGGTGTGGGGTGGTGGGGTAGAGGGCTTTATACTTGTCAGCTGACTCTGGCTGCCTTTTGTATCTCAGGAGCTAGGGAGTAGGGCTCTGACATGGCGACTTCTTAGCCTTCCCAAGCAAATACTTACTTGCTTCCCCATATATGCCCCCACATGTACATGGATCATATCCAAGGCATGCCCCTGTCCCAGCAAGCAGGAGCAAGCCAATCAGCCGGCCAGGAGACAGGCCCAGGCTTTACATCTCAAATCTGCAATTGTTTTTCCTCCGTGAGCCCCCCACCCCCGTTACCTCCCCTGGAGAATGGGTATAATAACACTGTCAGCTGCAGATTGTGAGAATTAAATCAGCTCATGTGTGGGATTCAAAGTGCCTGGCCTTACAGAGACAAAGGGTTCAGTTAATGGGATGGTGTTAGTGTTGTAAACACAGACCTCAAATCCACAAACCAACATACCCAGTTATCCATAGACACCCACTCAGCTTGGATCTGGTCAGCTGCCCCTTTAGGGGAAGAGAGAGCCCTGTAGCCAAGGGTATGAGTCTCCTGAACCATGTATCTGGTTCCTCCAGCACCAACACGAAAGAAGCCCTGGTGGCGCTGTGGGCTCAGACTGCCACCCACAAGACTGGCAGTTTGATCCCACCAGCTGTCCAATGGGAGAAAGATGAGGCAGTCCGATTCTGCAACCATCGACAGCCTTGGAAAAGCCTGTGGGGCAGTTCTCTGCCCTAGGGGTGACTCTGAGTTGGAATGGACTCTGGGGCGGGGGTAGTGTGACACTCCTGGGTAAGTCCAGCCCGAGGGGAGGCAGAGCCAGTCTTCCGCCTCCCACCAAGTGTGGCCTTCATGGAGGAGACCTGCCTCAGCTGTTGCCGCCCCTCTGTGAGTTCCTCTCTTGCCCCTCCTCAGCTCAGGACTCGTAGAGGTCTGGGTCTCCCATGAGGGGGCCCCTTTGAATCATCCCAGTTCCCTGGTGTCTAGGGGAAGAGGGAAGAGAAAGCCCTAGGGTGATGCCCCCATAATGCCCCACAAAACCACAGCAGACAGCAGTGTACACACAGATGTTTGGCACGCACGTGTGTGAGCACGCTGCCCATATGCAGAGCACACAGGCATTGACTGGCCTTCTGTGAGGACTCTTCATTCTGGCCAGGGGCCCAGGCTGGTACCGCAGCCCAGAGGGGCTGTTTAGACAGCTGTGGAGGCCACAAAAGAACTGCCTGTTGCTTCCTGGGTCCAGTGGTGGGTGTGGACTGTATGTAGGTCTGAGGGTAGTGGGTGGAGGCCAGCACAAGGGCCGTGGAAATGGACTGGACATGCTATGCAGCCTGGCTATGCAGTTTTAGTGACAAGACCTCAAGGTGGCTGACAGGCCTGGGGACATAGATCCAAGCCCGGGGTGACAGAACCTGACCACTCCCCACCCCCACCCCCCACCCCGCCTTTGCCATCAGGTATCAGAAGCATGTTCACACATACCGCATCCTGCCTGATGGAGAAGACTTCCTGGCTGTGCAGGTGTGAGTTTTGACCTCTGACACCTAACCTGCCCTAGGGGTTTATGACCCTCTGGCTGACACACACACACACACACCCTTTCCTGCCTGCAGACCTCGCAAGGTGTGCCTGTACGCCGCTTCCAGACCCTGGGGGAGCTCATCGGCCTCTACGCCCAGCCCAACCAGGGCCTCGTGTGCGCCCTGCTGTTGCCTGTGGAGCGGGAGCGAGAGCCGGACCCGCCCGATGACCGTGATGCCTCAGGTGCTGCCCGCTGCCCTGCCCTACCCCATCCTGCCCCCAAGCTCTATGATACCTCTCTACCTCCCCTTTCTAACTCCCTCCACCCTGGCACTCCCTCACCTCGGAGCCCAGTGCCAGGGCCTTGGACCCTTTGTCCCTGGCCTGCCTCCAGCCCCATTGCTGTGACTCCTATCCACAGATGGGGAGGATGAGAAGCCCCCACTGCCCCCACGCTCTGGCTCCACCAGCATTTCTGCCCCCATCGGGCCCTGCAGCCCCCCACCAGCCCCTGAGACCCCCACAACTCTGGCTGCTGAGAGGTAAGACCACCCCTAACCCCTTAAACAAGATAAGAAGTCCCTTTTTGCTCTTGAGAGCTGCCTCTTCAAGGGCCCCTGTGAAATCTCAGCCCCAGAGACCCCATTGGCCCCCTGTGAGGCCTGAGTGGGGATGGACCAGGGGATTGGGGAGGGAGTCAGGTAGAGCCTGCATTAATTTCATCCCATCCGCAGTACCCCCAATGGGCTGAGCACGGTCTCACATGAGTACCTGAAGGGTAGCTACGGGCTAGACCTGGAAGCCGTGCGGGGAGGAGCCAGTAATCTGCCCCACCTCACTCGCACCCTTGCCACCTCTTGCCGCAGGCTGCACAGGTACCTGGCCTGAACCCCTTCCTCTGACTGTCCTCACCTGCTCCCTTCACCTGCTGTGCCAATGCCCTGGCCTGATCTCTGACCCCATGGCAGTGAACAAGCCTTTTCCTCCCTGGTGTCCCTGTGTGGTCATGGTGGAGGCTGGGCAGCCCACTCAGCCCCTGTCCCTGTGCTGAAGCTGGGGTGAGGTTCTTGTCTTCCTTAGTGAGGTGGACAAGGTCCTATCAGGCCTGGAGATCCTGTCCAAGGTGTTTGACCAGCAGAGCTCGCCCATGGTGACCCGCCTTTTGCAGCAGCAGGTGGGACTTGGGTGGGGAGCCAGAGGGAGAGGGCTCACTAGAGCTGGGCTGGGGCTGGGGTGCTCACCTACAAGCCTTGCTTTCTCCCCACAGAGCCAGCCACAGACTGGGGAGCAGGAGTTGGAAAGCCTGGTGCTAAAGCTGTCGGTGCTCAAGGACTTCCTGTCGGGCATCCAGAAGAAGGTGGCCTGGCCCCTGACCCCAGGCTCCCAGCCACTATTCCCTGCTCGCTTGCCTTGGCCCCATCCTGACCTCCTCTCTGAACCTCCAGTTTAGCCCTGATCACAGACCGTGGCAGCCCCCCTCACCCCGCCCTACCCCTGATCTTGTCCTGCCCACTCCAGGCTCTGAAGGCCCTCCAGGACATGAGCTCCACAGCGCCCCCAGTGCCCCTGCAGCTGTCCACACGTAAGGCCAAGACCATCCCTGTGCAGGCCTTTGAGGTACATGGCACGGGATGCCAGCCAGGGGCCTCGGGCAGAAGGGAGGTTGGAAGTGAAGGAAGGGTGACTGGGCCCAAAGCCTTGTTAGCAGCCTCCCCACCTCCTGTGTCTGGGCTACAGGTGAAGCTAGATGTGACCCTGGGTGACCTGACTAAGATCGGGAAGTCGCAGAAGTTCACGCTGAGCGTGGATGTGGAGGGCGGGCGTCTGGTGCTGCTGCGGAGACAGCGGGACTCACAGGAGGACTGGACAACCTTCACCCATGACCGCAGTGAGCAGGCCACACCTGGGCAGGGAGCTGGGTGGGGCGGAGCCTGTAGGTCTAGGTGCATGGCCCTGTCTGACTTGTCC